CGAGAAGGCAGGGGGCAGGCTCATAATTCCTGTCGGGACGGTCCCCCTCTCTCCGTCGCGAAGGACGCTCCGCTGTCTGTTTTAATTACCGCAGTCGCTACTACCAATTTTTCGCGTATTTATGAGCTCTTATTTTATTTACGAGGCGCTCGCCCCTCCCCTCCCTCCCCCCACCCTCCTCTCGCACACTTACTCACGCCGAAAGGCTATTTATGCGCGTCGCACACAGAATGCTTCCTTTCGATGCTTTGGACGAGACGGTGAATAATTATGTGCTCGCGTTTAGAGGTCGCGCAGCGCGATATCTCGCGCGGTGATCTCTAATTTGCGAGCGATAGCACAGCGGGCGTAAACGAATCGGCTATTTATCTCACCGGAAGCGAAATCCTGCGGAACTTTTTAATCCCCGCCACTTCGGAAGGGAATAAGCGCGGGCCGGTGCGCGCGCGCACTTATTATCTTTCTTTCACGGTAAATGCACGTCGTTGACGCGGCCAACGTACGATGAAAATAATTTATACATATACACAGAGCGTGCGTTTCGCGTCTCTTAGCGCAGCGTTAAAATTCATAACGATGAGTTCTTTGACGGATTGTAAGTCGATTTTAATGAGGCCGGGCGGCTGGTGCGCGGCTTCCATTTTCAACGCATCCGTCGTGCATTTTTTGTGGTCCCTCTTTCCCCCACCCTCCCCCTTCGTTCCGGTCGAATATAAAATCTTTGTCTAAAATAAAGCGCGTTCGTTTCTACTGGAAGATTAATCGACGAAGTGAGGTTTTGCCGCTTTTCATTGTATCTCCGACGGAAACTTAATCCTTCGGTAATCTAATTTTAATGTCAAATAATCTCCGTAATTAAGCCTGACCGCTCGTATTTTTACCGAGGGAAGACATCGGACTTGCGTTAAGCGTCGTCTACAATGACAGTAAGCAGTAAGAAGTAAGCGTGAACAGTAAGAAATGGACCAACCACAGTTGATTATTTTTGTCATAATCGACTGTGATTGGTTTATTTCTTACCGCTTTACTCGTAAGGGTGAGTGAGTGGAGGAAGAGGAGCAAGGAAAAAAAGAGAGAAAGAAAGAAAGAGAGAGAGAGAGAGAGAGAGACAGAGAGAGAAGCAAAGAGAGACAAGTTGGCTTCGATGTTCGATAAGAATTTTTCGCATCAACGTCAAAACGTTATTAATCCTGAATAAATCTACGTGTATCGTAAGCTCATTTGACGAGAGAAATTTGTAACATTCGGAAAATACGGCGCGCAGATTGTGAGGTGAGTCGCGCGTAGAGAGAGAGAGAGAGAGAAAATGTGTGTGTGCGTGTGTATGTGTGTGTGTGTACATAAGAGGGAGGAGAGAGAAAGCTAATGGCATGCCAGAACTAGTGTTGGGTCATTCCACTTGCACGGATTGCATATAGGTTTACAGAGTACTACCGCGAAACCGACGGCGGTCTTGTCCCGCCGCGCTACAAGAGATATAAGCCGCTTTATGTTCTCCTGTCGCATCTACAGCTGTAACATTGTCGCGCTAGGTTAGTAACGGCGCGCGTGCGCTGAGATAGCACGGATTGGCTCATGGATTAAAGCGGATATCTTTTCCACGACGTTTTATCGATCAGAGACGATTTCGCCGTTGTTGATGTAAAAACATGTGCATAATTAAAGCCGCCAGTTTTTCTCGTCGTTCGGTCGCGTCCGTCGTGAATCTTCTTCTTTCTCTCTCTCCTCTCTCTCTCTCTCTCTCTCTATCTATCTATCTATCTCTTTCTTTCTTTCTTTCTTTCACACACTCTCTCTCTCTTTCTCTTTCTTTATTTATCTGTTTCTCGTCGCCGTTACTACGCGTTTGCACTTTCAAATATACGATCCAGTCACGCACTTACGAAGCACTCGCTCGTCAATCTTTTGCATCAAAATCGACGGTTGTGTTATGATAATATAAATATTCCGCCTAAGAAATCCTGTAAACGATAACGGACATCGGCGAAAGTAGCGCCGCTGTCCGCGACGATGGGCTCAACCGAAGCCGCGGGATTCGAATTTTTTCTATCCTCGGAGGGGCGAAGAGGAGGAGGATGGAGCATGGCATACGTACCAGATATGTAAATATGAAACCGGAATTTTTGTATAGAAAATACACGTTTATTGTATGAAAATGATAAAAAATATTTTATTCGAAGTATTGCCCATCGCTAGCTATACATTTTTCCCTCCTGTCTGACAATTTGTGGATGCCACGCCAAAAAAACTGTTACTCTCTTGAGGCAAACCAGTCATCGATTTTCGTCCATTTTCGTAAGAAGTGAAGCGCTGCTCAGCAAGTGCGTGTCCCATCGATGCAAATAAGTAGTAATCGGACGGAGCCAAGTCTGGTGAGTAAGCCGCATGCGAAAGTATTTCCCAACTAAACGCCTCAATCGTTTCCTTCACCAGTTTTGCTGTGTGTGATGGTGCATTATCATGAAGCAAAATCACTTTGTGTTGCCTTTTTTGATATTCTGGTCGTTGAATCACGCAAAGCTTGATTCAAATCGGTCATTTGTTGTCGGTAGTGTTCAGTATTAACGGTTTCGCCAGATTTTAGCAGCTCATAATAGCAGCACACCCTTCTGATCCCACCAAACACAGAGCATTGTCTTCCGTCCATAGCGATTTGGCCTTGCAGTCGATGTCGATGGTTCGCCTGGAGTTACCCATGATCTTTTACGCTTAGGATTCTCAAAATATATCCATTTTTCATCGCCAGTCACAATTCGATGGAGAAATGACTTTCTTTTGTACCTGGCGAGCAGCATTTCGCAAGTGGTTTTTCGGTTTTCCTGCTGTCTTTCATTCATTTCATGTGGAACCCATTTTCCCATCTTCTGGATCTTTCCTATGACTTTCAAATGTATGGGGACGGCTTCTCGTGTCACATTTAATTGATCCGCGAGTTGTTGTTGCGTTTGAGCATCATCCTCATCCAACAATGCTTGCAATTCGCTGTCTTTAAACTTTTTCGGTGGTCTTCCACGTTCTTCGTTTCTCACGTCAAAATCGCCACGTTTGAATTTTTTAAACCACTCAAAGCACTGTGATTTACCAAGAGCATGCGCACTGTAAGCTTCGACAAGCATTCGATGCGATTCTGCAGCAGTTTTCTTCAAATGGTAAAAGAAAATCAATGTTGTCCACAAATCGTAGCTTCCAGGCACAAAATTCGACATGTTCAACGCTATTACAAACTATGCTGTTGTATGAAATTTGTATTGTTGCGAGTTGAAAATCTTCGTCAGATGTCAACAAATGGAAATGGCGCCAATGACGCGATTTGACAGTAACTACATTGACAGCTAGGACGATCTATGGGCAAATTCCGGTTTCATATTTACAGACCTGGTACATTCGAATGCCTTTGAATTTCGATGTACAATATTTCGAAAGAGCACGATCGCGAACGTGAAAGACGAGAGAGCGACGGTTGTTGAAGAACAACCGCAAACCGCGGAAAATGAGGAAAGCCGGACAGCGCAAGATGTCCTGGACATGTCCAGACTGCCCTGCAGAATGCCTTAGGCCGTGCTGAGTGCATCTAGGATGATCTCAGGACGTGTTATGTTTGAATATTGACGATTGAGGTTACTCACCAACCGCCGTTTTGTCGCCAATGACGTCGGTCCTCCGGTCGGCTGCCGCATCACCCCGAACACTCATTCGTTCACTTATTACGCACTTATCACACGCATATTTGTCACTCGCACGTTACGCGGATTCCAATCGATCGGAGAGACGCGTTTAATCGCGATTTCGCGCGCGCTAATCGGTCAACACACAGCGACCGCTCGTCCTTTTGTGCCGAATTGCTTGCTTAATCGCGAGACTGAACGAAACTGCCATTCAACCGCCACCGGTGTGAAGTTGCCGCTGAGTGATACAAATGACGATTCAAACGCAGGCGAGCGACTTTTTACGCCGTCCCGTGAAGAGAAACTCTCGATTTCATCGTACTCCATCGCGGCGTAAACGCGATATTGATTCGTACGTGCGAGATAACGTGATCGCGTCGATTATAATCAACGTGTGACCAAGTCTCGTCATCGATCAGCTACTACGCGCTTGACTCGCGTATTCCTTCTACTCTCGGGTGTTCAAGCGCTTTTAACCGTTTAAATATCTGCGGGAAATTCAATTTCTCCCTGTGAGATCCTTCTGTGCCTGTGTGCAGAACTGTACGGGTATCATGGGCTAATGTAGATATTTCGTGTGTATTATTTGTAAACGTCGTGTGATTTGATGCGTGATATACGAGAGGTAACGTGCGCCCGAGGCCAGCTTAAGTTTCAGTGGGGACGAAACGACGAGAGGGAAGCTTGCATGCTCCAAGTTTCGATGTGCTCTCGTCGACGTGATGTTCGAGCGATCGCGTGCTGATTGGGTGGCATTTGTCGGTCTACTGTCGGACCGCTCCACTTGTAAGATCGAGTATAGAATACACTGATTGCAGACTTGTAGCCCGACACGGCACGACGGTGTTCTCTCCTTCTTCTACGCGTTTGCTGTCTGTTCGTGAAAGTTATCATCTCGTGGATGAAGTTTGCACTTTTCCGCGCACGTAAAGAGATCATCACGATGCCGAAGGGCAAGGCAAGAGGAAGAGAAGGAGAAGGAGGAGGTAGGAGTAGCTGCGGCAGGTGGGACGGGGCTATAATTTATGACGCGGAAGGAATCGATGGTGACTCGACTGATTTGTGACTTATTCTGCCCTTTGACGCACTGTTTTTTCCAGACTTTTATGTCGCCGATAAGACGCACGGCAGAACGTAATTAAGCGTGGAGACCGGACAGTGATAACACAATCTCGGGTTATAATTCATATCTAAGATATAAATTATTCACACGATTTTATCATTTTCGGATAAACGTCGGACGGCGTGGTCGGAGGCCACAAAATGCATATTAACTTCGTTGCCAATTGACTTCGTTGTAATAATAAAAAAATGATTTTATTAGATTTATATCGTATTATATCGTATACATGATTCTTGACAATTATAATTAAATATCTATAGAGAAGGATGCGATATTATTTCTCTGTACGAATATGTGCTTCATACTTATTATAATGTATGTACATTATGTACTAGAAAAATAGAGTATTATGCTCAAAAATATATACGTCGCTGGTGAAATATGTATAAAAAGACGAAGATTGATTAATGGAGAACGATACTTAGTATCTTCATATTTACAGAACAAACCATTTTCTAATTATCTACACGGCAAATCTTTCACGTCTCAATATCGCGTATCTTATAAAATGCAGATATAAGCGAATTTACTTGAATAGCATCGCGACATCCAGAGGCTAATCGTTTTTCTATTTCTGCTAGTTTGCACAGTAGATCGATAAATATCGAGTCGGGGAAGTCGACTGAAAAATAAACGCTTACAAATAATTATAAAAGATCTGAACACGTGTCGTATGTGTCGAAGGGAAATACTTACTTTTGATTACACACAAGTGAATTTCCGTCAATATATCTTGTAACGCGAGCCCTTTGTTCAATTTTAATTGTTGAATATCTGCGCGATACATTAAGGATTAATAGTTCTTGCAGAAGTAGTAACTTTGTTTAAAAAATTTCTACTGTTATTAAAGGATACTCTTGTAACATGTATCATAAGGCTCGTTTAGCAACCAATTTACAATGTTACGTATGTCACTTGGCAATGGATGTCCGACACAGTTATATACATTCCCTTCGTTTACTATGCCATAAGCAAACCATGTACTCTGAAGTACACTTATTACTTTTCTCATATCACCGCCACTCAGTGTCATCAGCGCTTGCTTTCCATCTTCTGTAACATTTAAACTGCAAGATATTCTCATTAACAGACAGCATAATACGTTAACACAAACTATAGATAGAATCACGAGAAAAACATTTGGTATCAAATAAATTTATTTACTTCTCCGCCTCAATGACATGATTCAGTCTTGGTATTATTTGTTCTGCTGCAAGAGGTAGAAATCTGAATCTGGTACAGCGAGATTGTAAGGCTGGGATTATTTTACTGAGATAGTTGCATATGATGCAGAAGCGTACATTATCTGTATACTTTTCGATAACTGAAAATAACAAGTATAAGAAAAATAAAGATTATAATATATTAAGATTGATACATACTTACTTCTTCTAAGTGCATTTTGGGCATCAATTGTCATGGCATCTGCCTCATCCAGAATGATTAATTTAAATGCAGATTTGTACATAGTACCTGTACTAGCAAAGCTCAAGATTTGACCTCGTACAATACCTATGCCTCTATCATCAGAAGCATTTAATTCTAACACCTAATGTATGACAAAAAGTTATGGTGTGAGCAAGACAAAAAGATATTTAAAGTCACTCAACAATAATTGTACAACCATTGAATTGAATTGAGCTGGAGTATAAAGTTTACGAGCACACGCCAATATAGTACTGGTCTTTCCTGTCCCAGGAGGTCCATATAGAAGGAGATGAGGTAGCTGATTTTCATCAATAAACTTATTTACTGTAACAAACAGACTCTTACATATAGTTTGCATTATGTGCACATTCACTACATAGAATGCACATAGATACTTACTTGTCTTTATTATTGTCTCATGAGAGATAAGTTCATCTAAATTTTTGGGACGATATTTTTCGACCCTGAAACATGTTATAGTTTTCAGTTATCAACATTATCAACGTCATGAGCGTTGTACTCACCATGGTAAGTTTACGAGTTGTTCATCATTAGATGTCATCGTGTCAGCATAAAATCGTTATTTTATAATTTATGTCGAGCTAATTGAAAGGTTATAATCCACCCGTGCGGTTGTCAGAATGTCAGCCGGCATATAAGTGAGACAAGCGATGAGGATTTTGAAATACCGCGCGATCATTGGCCGGCACATATGTGTACAAAACCACGTTTGAGATGTAAGGCAAGAGCACAGGCTTTTGCATAATGCATAATACATAGCGCATAAGAGAATAAACCAATTAGTTTTCTTCATTTCCCTCCTCAGGATAGAAATGAAGAACTCTGATTGGTTGATTCTCTTATGTGTTGTGTATTATGCGTTAAGCCCTAAACACAATGCCAGGCAACAGGCAATAAGAATAAAAATAGACCAATCACAATTGACTATTACAAGAATAATTGATTGTGATTGGTCTATTTTTATTCTTATTGCCTGACATTGTGTTTAGAGCTTTATGCAGAAGTCTGTGCTCTGGCCCGTAGGATTCTCATATCGACAAGTATTTGGTTGGTCGTATAAAGGCTCGTCTACAATAGTTGTAAGAGTATAGCCCCTTGCACAATGCCAGGCAACAGGCAATAAGAATAAAAATAGACCAATCACAATAGATTATTCTTGTAATAGTCGATTGTGATTGGTCTATTTTTATTCTTATTGCTTGTTGCCTCGCATTGTGCAAGGGGCCTAAGGCTGTAAGGCTGTAACGTAAGCTGTTAACGAATGAAAATATTTCATTTCGTGTCTTGCAACCTTACAGCCTTAAGCCCTAAACACAATGCCAGGCAACAGGCAATAAGAATAAAAATAGACCAATCGCAATAGATTATTCTTGTAATAGTCGATTGTGATTGGTCTATTTTTATTCTTATTGCCTGTTGCCTGGCATTGTGTTTAGGGCTTTACTCTTACAGCTAATGTAGACGAGCCTTAACACATAATTTCACATAATTTCCAATTTCTGGATAGAATAGAATCGAATCGTGAAATTATTATTGAAAGTTATAAATGAGAGATATAACGTTTTTCGATTACGAACCTTGAGTTATTTGCCAGCAAACGATTACTCTATCCTATTGCAGCTTTATTGTAAGTAATGTAATGTACGTATTGACCAAATTACCTGTTTATCATTTGAATTTTGTATTTTTCATAAGAAATCTACTTCGACAATAACTCATTAACAGTCGATGAAATGAGAAAGTAATAAGCTAATCAGAAGAGTAAATAAGAGTTCTGATATAAACGTCAACAGGTTAACTTCCCAACGTTTGTTTTATTTCGGAATTATACAGGGACAATTAGTTCGCGTGTGATGAATAAATATGGCTCATCGAATTCTCCGAGGAATTCCCGCAATGATGATAAGTCATTCGCCGAAAATAACGCAAAACTTCGAGTATCTTCTTGTAATGGATTTTGAAGCCACATGCGAGAAACATCAACCTCTCAAACCACAGGAGATCATAGAGTTACCATGTGCAGTATTGTCTACTCGTGATTGGAAATTAAAAGACGTTTTCCACGAATATATCAAGCCCAGGGTCCATCCTATACTCACACCATTTTGCACAGAACTAACAGGAATTATTCAAGATATAGTGGATAATCAGCCTTACTTCCCAGATGTATTCTCAAACTTCTGTGAGTGGTTAACAAAGGGAGGATATTTTGATGAATCTAACAAAAGCACATTTGTAACATGCGGTAATTGGGATCTGAAAGTTATGCTACCAAGTCAATGCAAATTGGATGGCATCACATTACCGGATCAATTTAAGCAATGGATAGATTTGAAGCATACGTTTAGTGAATTTTCTATGTATTATCCTAGAAGTTTGCCAGATATGCTTACACGATTAAATATCCCACTGCAAGGACGTTTACATTCAGGCATTGATGATGTAAAGAATATGGTTGCTATAATACAAACTTTACAAGAGAAGTACAATGTACAATTTAAAATTACTTCATCGTCCACAACTTCCATATTAAATTTAAAAAATTACAAAGGAAATATGGTAAGGAGAAAAGTGTAAAAAGATATGCGATTAAACATTTTTTGAAGTCTTTTTAAGTTTGTGAAAATTGGTCTTGTATATAAAATATTGCTTTTATAAAATCCACTGAGATTACAGTAACGAGAATCGAGAAATAAATATTCTGATTATATTGCAACATGATTATTGTCGCTTTATGTTTACTTTGACCAACACATCCTTTTTACTATTCTCTGTATAAATTTCAAGTACGTCTTGCATATTACGTTCTATTCTCGGTGAACATTGTATTGTTAGAGTAAAAAGTCCTTTGCTAGGAAGTGTTCCTTCTGCGGGGACAACACTGAGACAATTCGAGTTCAACAAATTAGTCTGGAATGATTGGGCCACTTTGAAGAAACTAGAAATACTTATAGTTGCCTCATTGCATATTGGAGGATTTAAAGTGACAGTGGACGGATTTACAATGAAATGCTCTTCTCGAGAATCGTGATGTTGAGCTTCGTATCCTTCCATGGTTCTGTACATAAAAATATTAATTTTAATAAGAGAAATAACACTTCAAGCGACACTAAGTTGAGAGAGAGATAGAGATAGAGATAGAGATAGAGACAGAGACAGAGAGAGAGAGAGAGACAGAGGGAGAGAGGGAGAGAGAGGGAGTGAGAGGGGGGAGGGAGAGAGAGGGGGGAGGGAGAGAGAGACAGAGAGAGAGGGAGAGAGGGGGGGGAGAGAGAGACAGAGAGAGACAGACAGAGAGAGAGACAGAGAGACAGAGAGAGAGAGAGAGAGAGAGAGAGAGGAAATATATATACATATATATATATACAGGGTATTATAAAAATCCCGGAAGAGCAGAATAACTCGAAAAATGAGTCCTAGAAAAAATGCGAAGTACAGGGTTTTTATTTTTTCCTGGCTATCTGACGGTGACCTTGGATTTGACCTTGACAATAACCTTGAAGGTTATTTCAAGGTCAGGTCAATTTTTTTAAATGGGATCCCATACTTTTGACCCCAGAAATGAAAAGAGCGGAAAATTTTACGTTCGGATATGACCTTAAACACTGTCAAATTTGACCTCTGAAGGTCACATAAAAGTCTAAGCTTGTTTTAGGCTGAAAACGCGAATATCTTCGAAAATGCACCTGCTAGGGAGCAATGTTACGCATAAGAATAAGAATGTAGAGGTCAACGAGAGACATTCAGCCATACTTTGCCCTTATTCTCAAGGTCATAAGTTAAGATTATTATTAAGGTCAAACCGGACCTTTTTAGGGCTGAAAATCTATACTTTTGACCTAAAAGTGTCAAGATTGAAAAATTTTACGTTCGGATATGACGTTTTCAACCTTGACCTTGTTCTTAAGGTTATGTGTCAGTCATATCAAGGTCAATTAATTTTTTTTAGGCTGGAAACATATACTTTTACCCCCCCCCCATAATGTGAAGAGTGAGATTTTACGTTACGTACGAGACCACACTCCGATTGTTGGTAATTCCTCAATATCGGGCGCCATTTTGGATCGGTCATCTTGAATTTGTAAAATCCAACGTCGGATTCGATTTCAGAAACGAGTTCAAAAACTCCTTAAACGAGATTCAATTTTTGTTATTCTTAAATATCGGCCGCTATCTTGAATCGGCCATCTTGAATTTGCAAAATCCGACGGCGAATTCGGTTCCCTCGTTGACCTCTACATTCTTATTCTTATGCGTAACATTGCTCCCTAGCAGGTGCATTTTCGAAGATATTCGCGTTTTCAGCCTAAAACAAGCTTAGACCTTCATGTGACCTTCAGAGGTCAAATTTGGCAGTGTTCAAAGTCATATCCGAACGTAAAATTTTCCGCTCTTTTCATTTCTGGGGTCAAAAGTATAGGGTCCCATTTAAAAAAATTGACCTGACCTTGAAATGACCTTCAAGATCATTGTCAACGTCAAATCCAAGGTCACCGTCAGATAGCCAGGAAAAAATCATAAAAACACAGTACCTCACATTTTTTCTAGGACTCATATTTTTCGAGTTATTCTGCTCTTCCGGGACTTTTATAACACCCTGTATATGCATAAATTAATAAAACTTACTGAGAAGAGAAAAAACTTGTTCCGCCCACTTCATCCGTGTGACTGTTATCACTTATCAGAGAATAATACATTTGTGAATCATCATTGTCATGAAGAATAGGCAAAGTATCATCTGCGCAAGACTCCACTGTGAGCATTATTTCGTACTGCTGAACTCCAGTGCAAAGATCATGTAGGCTTTGCTATTTAAATATGAATTGAATTGCTTAGTTTGAGTAATCACACATTTGCAAGCGATAAAAAAGCGTAATAATCGTAATAAAATCGTATACATATATAGGATGTTTGATAATTCATAGCTATAGTCTATGGAGGCATAGAACTGGTTAAAACAAATATAAAATTCCATACCATTTTGCGATATTCATGATTATCAAGTTATTAATTATAGCAATCTAACGAATGGATGCGCGACGAGATGGTTAATATTAAAAGATTGGAGAAGCATTGCAGTCACTTGGGCAAGAGCGTGGCTTAGTCGTTCTAGCAACTGTTGCCGGCGCGTGGCGAGGAGAAAGATAATGCATTGCTATTCGGCTATGCGCTGGTCTTATTCTGTCGTTCCTATATCTGGCTACGAGTGGCTGTAATGTTGCTCCAATTATTCATCTCAGTGTGCGCTCACTCGTTAGATTTCTATAATTAATAACTCGATAATTATTACGAATATCGCAAAACGGTATAAGACTTTTGTTTGTTTTAATCAGTCCTTAATCCTATACTTCCATTGTATACTTCCATCTATGGCTACATGAATTACCAAATATCCTGTGTGTGTGTGTGTGTACACACAATACTTACAATGGGATCACGTATCGATGTTAAACCAGGTATTAATTGTTCCCCAGGAAAAGTTTTACAAATAGGATAAACAACATTTCTGAACGTATCATTTTCATTTCTGAATAATTCACCCGATTCTTTTATTTTGTTATATAATCTACAAAAGGGAGTGCATTTTTTGTTTTAACGAAAACTAAAATCTATGCGAACACATGCTAATCTGTGTCGGTATATAATGTATTTATTACCTCCGTATTCTCCAGCGAGTCGGTTCATCCCCATAGACAACGTTAATCGTCGCGACATGCGATACATCTGCAACACTATGTTGTAATTTCGCAAAATCCTCCTTCTTGGGATAGAATTCTATCGACACTTGTTGAGACTCCTTAGGATCGAATATTAGTTCCGTCGGAGTTACACGCCAACTAGAATCCATTCTTGGAGAAATAACTGAGATATAAAAATACACTTATATATTAATATATAAATATTAATATATATTTATATACGATAACATAATATATATATATATATATATATATATATATATATATGAATTTATATATATGAAACAATCACGAAGAAAATTACAAACACCTTTTGGTACAACTTTGATTTTTGCGAATGTACGCAAGTCACCAGTATTTTGCAATTTCATGTTCGCTCTCAAGACTGTGGTTCCCGATGATAAAGTGCCTAGCGCCAACCATATCTTTCCACTCGCATCTTTATATGTATCCGAGATCTTCATTTTGCCATAGCCGCCGTATCCATATAAGGGTATCTGTCGATTAAAATTGAAATTACATTCCAAACACATTGAGAGATGCATCAAAACGTTCGATACTGAATGTGTACGCACTCTTCTGTGTTGAAATTCATGATTTTCCTTTGTAGGCGTGTAATGCTTGATAGTGATCTTTCCAGTTACTGGACCCACACGATACGGATTGAATATGATCGCGAGAGTTTTGCTTTCTGTACGTTGCATCGCCAGTACCATACTTGTATTCATAGTCTGCCTGTCACCGAGGAACTGTAATACGAAACGCTCATGTTGACGTTGCGAATGTAACTTTTTTCCCAGATAATGTAATGTGCAATTTATACCATAAAGCTCTTATTGTCGTCCCAAATGTTTATCTGGATTTTAATCTTGTTGTTACTCGTATTACGAATTGTAAACTCCTTGATTTTGCTCTTGCCTGTTTTTACACTGTTCCACACTAGAGCGGCATGTGTCGCTCTGATTGGAATTGCACTTCCAGCTACGGCTACACTGGATTCTACGCTGCTTGGTGAATTTCTGCCTTGGTAAACTCCGGACCTACAACTAAATTCAGATCTAGAAGTCGCAGATCACCGTTGTGGTGCAGGGTCACTGAATACATAGAAGTACGAACTCACCTACTAGAGGTTACACTTTGTGGAGATGTCGGCGAATTTATAGACACTAAGTTACAAGGCGTGTCACAACGCGGATAATTTTCATTTTCCGTTTCTAGCGGTTTCTGCTCGGTGCTCACGATGTAATAGTAGACGTTGTTGCCGGCGACTAATTTTATCTTTGCATGTCTGTGGAGAGAAGGAACGCGCAATAAAAATTAACGAATATATTGATGCTCTAACATATTATGCTTATGTTAGCTTATTCCAAATGTCGTTTCTTATTTTACTTTAAACATAGACATCTTGTTTAGGCTATATACCCAAACTTTCTCTTATATCTTTAAAACAATATTCTCCCTATAGTCCACATCAGGTGTAAAAAAAACAGATGTAGGCACTAATATTTTTAAATGAAAATTAGTTTCACAAAAGAAACGACATTATTTACATTTGCCTGTTGTATTGTCACCTCTCTTCGATTATATCCCTCGTGTCAGAAATCTGCGACTTATACGTGATCAAGAATGAACCTCTCTCCCCGACTTGTAAAGATATGTCGTATGGCTTTATAGAAAATTCCTGTGCCGCTCTCTGATATCTTTCCATTGGCACGACAGCGGCAGACACGCACGTCGCGACATTTCCCGAATTAATGACTTTCAGCAGTTTGCCGTGCTGTCGTGAAACCATTATAGGCACATCCGTGTCGATGACTTGAATCTTACAAGTGCCTGTTTGCGCACAGAGGAGCACTTCCTTCAAGAATAATATTGTTCCGTCACTACATTGTACTTGTATAATCAATTTGCTCTTCCAATACTGCGATTGTTTCTGTGAATAATCTGTTCGAGAAAATCTTCATATATCTCTGGTAGAAAAATGCACGACGTGCAAATACATGTATTCAAAGTAAGTAGATGCTTACCCATTGTAAATTGTGATCTCTCGCATTTTATATTAGCGGCGTATTTCTCTTGAGGCTTAAGTACTAAATGAGTCATCAATTCGTCATGAGATTCGTTTAGTTTTACTGATCCGCTAAAATTATCATCAATACTGAATATTTTTGGTCCTTCCTAAAACAATGACAAAATATATTCATGTTTTCTGCTTGCAAAATATTGTTTTGATTATGCTCAAACATGTATAGGGATCTTACATGTAATATAGAGAGCTTAACAGGTACATCAACATTATTTTTGTTGTGAAATATTATAGGTAGAACTTTTGCCGCCACGTTTTCCGCCACATATTGGAAATTTAATTCCTGTTTATCCTGTGAGTTGCATATGATATCAAGTTCGAATTCTTCTGGCTTGAAGCAGATCATGTGCGTCATAAATTTCGACTTTGCTTCGACCATGTTCGATGCAATTATATTTAATACCGCGATTATTGGTTTGCACATTTTTGTTATTTTTACTTTAATCTGGGAAAAGAGCGGACAATTAAATAATGATTGGTGACAAGAGTAAGATGAAGTTTTCGTGAAATTACCTTTGCAAACTGGGCACCTTTAGGCTTTATTAAAATCGCATCTTCGAGAATATTTAACGTAATACTTTGCTGATCTCCTCGTATTTCGTTCAGCTTTAAGGTGCATGTGATCCATCTGTCTCCTTTGTTTACAAGTTCTATATTAGCTTTACACGTCATACCAATAATGCAATTGCATAATTGGTCCGTATTCTTGCCAATAATTATATCATCTAATAAGTCAAAAAGATATATTTAAAAAATGTAAAAAAGATTAATATCTGCCAAATAAGATAAATTAATAATCAAGCAAGATGTACTGTTTAAATCAAACTGCGTTTCAGTTTCCACATTCTCTTTGAACTGTGTGCTTATCGTCGTGTTATCAGAAACATCCACTTTCATTGCTTCTTTCTTTTCTATCGCTTGTATATTCATATCATCGTAGCTTTCTTCACTATAACTTTTTATATCCATTGGTGGCACATGCGAGAATATATTCAATTTATCATTGGATAATAATGCCGAATGTTGTAAGAACATAAAATCTGTGGCTGATATTTTAACTATGAGAAAATATCACGTTAAATTTCTTGTGCTTATTCGAATAAAGTATATTGATATATTGATATATTTTACATTGGGCTTAGATTTAAGATATGTCCTCTGATATAAAGACAATAAAAATGTTAATAGAAATGGATTCGCAGTGAATATCACAGTGATAAAAATCTTATTGTACAAACCTGCATCTTTGTTAGATGAAGAAGTTACATCTTTATCATTTGCGTTTTCTTTCAATATTTCGCACACACTTTCAAAAGATTTAGCTTCTTTCATATTTTTATTTGGAGAAAATGACAATATTCTTGAGATTTTTTCCTTTTCACTCGCGTCATTCATAGTTTTACTATCCAGTGACAATTTTGTCGTGAGATCTACTAGACTGATATCATTATCAAATTTATTGGGATTTGTTGTAGACGTTGCCATCATAGATTTTCTTTCCAAAGGCAATGTATATGTTTCTTTCTTTGTATGTTCGTCTATTACTGAATATTTCTTTTTTTTCTGTGCCATTAAGAGCTGGTCAACTAATCGCCGTGGTGTCTCACTATTAACATCTTGCAAAGTACTAGCAATGGTGCTCAAACTTAAAATACTATTTTCACCCATATCAACTGCCGAGTTTGGAACGCGTGTGTGCTCTTTCTTCTCCTTTAGCTCTATTGATGGTAACATTGTTGTTATATTTTATATACATATTCAGAATATAAGGAGCAATTTAATATAATTTAGGATCATTAACTTACCATTTGCCATGAGTGTCGAATTAATCAATGGTCTCAAGTTGTCCTTTCTTATGGGAGTTTCCAAAGTAATGTCAAAACTTGGTTTTAATTTATCATCTTTAAACATTTCCATGTTACATTTACGTTTGAAGTATTGACCAACAGATACTTTTTTCCCAGCGCATGACCTGTACATTTCAGACTTTATGTTACTGTGCATATTTTAGCAGAATTAAAGAATAATTATTTAAGATACATTAAAGAATAATCATTTAACATACGCTATCGATAAGTCAACTGGCCCAATGATACCAGAGAAGGAAGAACAGTCTAATTCCTGTTTTTCGGTATCCATAACTGACATGGAATATGTGTCATTTTGTCGCCAGTGAGCTTCATCAATCGATAGTTGTGCAGGCACTTGTGAGCCAGACAGAAATTCTTCATCATTAAATTCTTTCTGGAATTGTGCTAACTCATTTGTGATGCTATTCAAGTTGATGCCATCAGATGATATATTTAAAAGAGACTGTTCTATTGTACTACTTAGGGTAGATGAGTGTGCTGATATTTCATTAGGCTTAAAAATAATCTGAAATTTATTCTTATATTCTACTTTTTTTTTTTTTAATTAGATTTCTTGGTCACAGTTACTTACACTGGTTGTATCAGTCTTAGCTATGTAATTCATACTGCATTCTTGACTCTGATCAGGAATACAAGTTTTGTTTGGCAAAGCAAAACTTAAAACAGGTAAAATACCTGTCATATTTTGTACATTTGCATTATTTTCTTTATTTGTGTCTAAAATAATATAGGTTAATGTCTTTATAACTTTATATTATGTCTTTATAACAAAACATGCATATATGTAAGTGCTTTTAAAAGACCATGTTTCCTCTGTTTACCTGTAACCACAGAAAAGTTGTTCAAGTCGCTACATTTTTGAAGAATTTTTCTAGCATATTCAAGCTCCTTATTCATAGTAATATAATTCAGCTTTTGTTCCTCATCTGCTGTGCTAACATTTGTGAGAGCTATCCAATATCAAGTGATATTACAATATTAATATTTAAGAAATATTAGTAGGGAAAAATTTGCAGACACACACATACCTGACATGTTATCAAGGAGACCCAATGAGGAATTATCCGTATCATCTGCCTGACTTTCACATGGAATTCGCTTCTGTTTCTCTTGACTGAAGTCCCCACTACTGAATTTATTCTCCAGCCTGAAATAAAGCATCTTTCTAAGTCATTCTTGTGAACATTTCTTATAGTCAATAGGAGCTTTGAGCATCTTCCATAACATTCTCTTGACAAACAACTCAATACAACAGAAGAAGTCAGTTAAAATTGCTGGCTTCAAGATTTGCAGATAATCGGAACGAACATTTCGTGCTTAGAATCGAAGAGTTTAAAATGTCTGAGAACGTACGTGCTTTTTCGTCGAACCGTTGAAGTTGCTTGAGGCTGCGGTGTATTTAACACCGTATCGTTCAGTACGCCAGTGCCCGCGGGCTTGATCGGCGTAAACATCATAGAGTTCTTTGTTCCTCGCTGGATCACAAATAGCTACAGTCCGACGGGAAATCATGGGACGAACGATTCAACAGCCTTTTATGATTTCACCATGCATGGCTATCTCATAAACCCAGTCTGGCTGTTGAATCCTTGCGTGGGAAATCGACGACAGTTGATTGATTATGCGGTTCAAATTTGAAAAGCTTGGAGGTCACTGACGATTGGACACGGACGCGAAAAACGCGATATAGTTTATCGTGTTATCGAAGCTTTACGTTAATCGCCATCTGTCGGTGAATGCCTTTCGAAAATCATTTTGACACGGAACAGTGTTTTTTTCGCATTGTAATTGTTGAAAAGCCGAAAGCAAAATATTAAAGTCACGGTACATCCCGCTCAGTCAACGATAAAAATAAAAGTCATTCTATGGCCACGCTTACGAAAGATAAAAGCTTGATTGATCCGTTTATTGAATTGTATTACTCGAAAATAAAAAGTCTTCTGACTTGCTGTAAAAATATCCTGCTTGAAAATGAGAAAGCTTTTTTACTTTCCCCGTTGAGTTTTATATATTATTATAAATATAATGTGTCTAATTGCGCAAATTTGTGTAACTAACGATAATCTGTTACGATTAGACCCTTTATATTTTTAGTTCTGAGTTGTCCGTTACGAGCCGCTAGTGAATCAGTAAAAAACAGGGGCTCCTAACTCCCTGTATTTTACTGGTGACGGAAATGACTTTAGTTCGTCTCGGATTGGGTACAAAGGCAGGTGGCAGTGCAGTCGACCAACATCATCATCTGTTAGTCGCCATATTGAACAGTTTCTCTTTATCAATGACTTGAGAAGATGTTTTGCAGTGTTTTGTATATTTAAGTGCCCAGAAAAGAGTATTTCAGTGTTATATAGGAAGAAAGAAGGACCAACGAAGGACAAAGAGCGTGTGGCGTATATTCATAATCATAATATTGACATTTACGTATTTATGTATATATATGTGTCATTGTGTCTGTGCATGTTTATAAGCTGTGTGTGTGTATGATGCATGGTAGTTTTATGCATCAAATTTTTTTAATCACACCAGATACATAGCAAAAATGTATTTGACAGTCCGCAGTCTGCAAGTGGGACGGGAAAATATGATGCATTAAACTTTCTTGTAATTAATTTTACTTTTTAATTTTATTGTAAAAAATATTATAACCATTTAAAATAATATTTGTAAACATGGCAATAAAAAAATACAAAATAAAAGTTGTAATAAATATATGTAGCTTTATATTTATATTGTGTTTCTAGTATATGCATATTGAGTTGTGTAGTTGTATATAGTTGTATGCCGCTGATATCTATAATTTTGTATTTTCTATACAATTATTTTATAAAATTATACAGACATAAAAATTTTATCATTTCATTTTACCTAATAATTTTGAAATTATACATATTACACAACTCAATATGCGTATATATAATCTTGTACAAATGTGAACATAGAAAAAGAAATATTTTTAATAAGTATTTTACAAAACTTTATTTTTATGTCTACTCATACATGCTAATTAATAGGGCAAAATAATGATTAATTAGCATGTATAAGTAGACATAAAAATAAAGTTTTGTAACATACTTATTAAAAATATTTCTTTTTCTATGTTCACATTTGCACAAAACAGTATATATATGAAAGAGCGCGGCTGCAGAGGTTTGAATACCACCGCGTATCCCCACTCCGTGTCACGTGACTCATTTTAGTTCAGCAACGTCCGGATACAGCTCCAGATGGCGTCTGGCACTCGTTTTACAAGAGGGGAGTCTGTGCCCCCTGGTAAAAAAGTGATCGTAGTATAGCTCAACAACAGATCAGTAGTATTTTCAAGTAGTATAACTCAACAGGTGTAAAGAGCAAGAGAAGAAAAAAAATCTTCAATATATGGATGACACGTGTAAACGTATTTTATAACTGATTTTAATTTATTAGCCGGGAAAATTTTGCCGGGAAAATGATACATGTTCTGTCGCTGAATATATTCAGTTCTTAATGCTTGAACAACGACAATAAATATTATTATTTTCGAGGTGAGCTTCTTTATAAATATAATTGTTTATTAAATAGGATAAAAACGAAGAGCACTGAAATAGATAAATCAATCTTCTGATAGCATAATTTATTTCAATAAGCACAAAACATTTTAATATCTCTAGATTAATATTATAAAGGATATAAACTTATACACAACTTATACACAAACTTATACACAATGGGTGATACAAGTACGGAAACGCTAACAGCCAACATTGCGGAGAACGAAAAGGATCCATACGCATATCTTGAGAGGGATGATTTCACATCTGAAAAATACAAGATAGAAGTCCGTGGTTTACCTAAATATTATGGAATTGGCGAGTTTAAGAAACTCTTGAACGAGAAGCTTGACTTGCAATTGTGCAAGGTAAAGCCACCAAGAAAAGGTAATAAAGCTAGTGGCTGGCTGTATGTGTGTTTTAGAAGTGAAGAGTGTCGACAACGGGCAATAAGTACCATAAATGGAACTTTATGGAAAAATAGTAAACTTACTGCACAGGTATTTGTTTCTCTGTCAAAATTGTTTGCAAAGTTCTTGTGCAAAGTTAGATGATGACAATGTTTGTTTGTAACTGTGATTGCTCTTTCTACAATAGGTAGCAAAGCCAGCACCAGATCCTTTTGTAAAAAAAAAACTAGAAACTGCTAGCAAACGTTTTAAAAGTGATGAAGAAAATCAAAATTGTTCCCCCATGGAACGGATTAAACTTTCTACCACTCCTTTGTGGAATATGCCATATGAGAACCAAGTAAGAAATGTTAAAGTATCTTTATTGGGAAGCATTAAGCCTGTATTGTATTTTTATTTAGCTAGAGTTTAAGCAGAAGGAGATGAGATCTATTCTGATAAAAATCGGCCAGCAAATGCTCAAGGAAAGCAGAGGACTGACTGATTGGATAAATTCACAGAGGAAATTATACAATGGGTTGCCTTGTGAATTGCAGAATATCCTTTCAGCCAATGTTACTGAAGCATACAGGAACAAGTGCGAATTTACAATCGGTAATCACTGTTGCATTTTGTCGCCTTCGAGACAATATTAAAATTTGCCAAGCTCACTTTATATCGTTTTCTTTCGTCATGTACAGGCAGAGGCAGTGAGCGGAACGAAATCATGATAGGATTCAGATTGTCGAGTTACACTTCCGGTTCTACCGCGGTCGGACCTATCGATGATCTATGTCACATTCCTCAAAATATGAAGACAGCTGTGAAGGTAGATTTTAAATACTGATACTTTGCGATGTTTGAAAGCTGTAAGAGACGAGATCGTTATTATATCTATCTACTATATTATTCTACTTACGTATCAAGAATTTAGAATTGAGGAACTGAATATTTCAGATATTGGAAACATTTATATGCGAATCCGATCTAGAACCTTTCAATCCTGTGGATCATAGTGGATACTGGAGACAAGTTGCTGCTCGCACCACTCGCGCCGGTCATTTGATGTTGATAGTAGGAATACATCCTCAGGATCTGAGCGGTGATGAACTGGAGAAATTAAGGTCGCAGCTACGAACGTTCTTCGAAACGGGAGAGGGCGCGAAGGCGTGCGTCACATCGTTATACTTTCAAACGATAGACAAGAAGTGAGTGCATCGCGTAAGTGCGGCAGTCTTTCGTGCCACGTGTTTCTATTATAGCCGAACGGTGTGTGAATTTGCAGGGGTATAGGCGGCGAGAGTAACGACACGTTGTATCACGTGAGCGGCACGGAGTATATCGAGGAGACACTGCTCGGCATGAAATTTCGAGTTTCGCCCCAAGCATTTTTCCAAGTGAACACATTAGGCGCAGAAGTGTTGTATAAGGCGGTGATCGATCTCGCTGAATCTACGACGGACACGGCGTTGCTGGATGTGTGCTGCGGCACTGGGACCATAGGCCTCTGCTTCTCGAAAGTACAATCCTGATCACATCGCTGTGCGGCGTTCCGTCGTGGACATTGTAACGCTCAAGTTCGTTCGTTCGTTGCAGCATTGCGGCGAGGTGCTGGGAATTGAAGTCATTCCCGACGCCATAAAGGATGCGAAGGAGAACGCGATCAAGAACGGCGTGACAAATTGCGAGTTCTTCGTCGGGAAAGCGGAGGACATTTTATCGCCTGTCATTCAAAGGGCAACCAGGTCCAATATCACCGCCGTCGTGGACCCGCCACGAGCCGGCTTACGTGAGTCGTCGTGATAGAATCTCTTCTCTTTTTCTTTTACAATGGTATTGCACCAAACTTAACCGGCTTGTTGATTCCCTTGTATTTTCTCTCTTCCAGATCAGAAGGCTTTATTGACGCTGCGCAAAGTGAAAAAGTTGAGTAGATTGGTGTACATATCGTGCGACCCACGCGCTGCTATGAAAAATTTAGTTGACTTAGCGCGACCTAGTTCGAAGCAATACCTCGGTGAACCCCTGGTGCCGGTAAAGGCCATCGCGGTGGACATGTTCCCTCATACTAAACATTGCGAATTGATATTGTGCCTTGAGAGACTGTCACAGGCAATGAAATCAAACGAACGTACGTCCTAAGGAGACACGGCGAAGCGAGAGAGAGAGAGAGAGAGAGAGAGAGAGAGAGAGAGAGAGAGAGAGAGAGAGAGAGAGAGAGAGAGAGAGAGAGAGAGAGAGAAGGGAGAAGAGAACGCTTCGCTCGCGTTTCTCGGTTATATTTTACACCGAGTATACGCGATGTTTTCAGATCTGTGAACAGAATCGCCAGTGTTACACGTGTAAGCAGGAATGATTTCACGTTTTCCTCCTTGACAAGGGAGGAAGATGATCGGTGAGAAGCGGTTGCGAATTCTCACGTTAGTGAGTTACAGTCTCTGTGTCTAAATAGCTCTATATATATATATATATACATACATATATTTCATTTAATATAATAAAAATAATATTGATATAATTCTATCGATAACATATATCGGTGTCGCGCACGTACATGACGTAGTCCAAACGTACCTCTACATACTTCCAGGCGTTACCAATCAAGCAGCGAACGAGAATTCAGTAATATTCAGATAGAACGATCGCAAGAGTCAAGAGGACTGTGTCGTAAGTTATTTCGTTACAATGCGGTTTAACTCAACTTGAGAGACGAAGGAGGAGAGAAATAAAGAGAGAAAGAAAGAGGGAAGGAAGAAGCGTGACTAGAATTTGCATTAGAGTTATCACGTCCGTTCCGATTTCTGCGGGACATTTCCGCGCGATCGCGCGTACGCCTGAATCTCGCGTTTAAACGACTTCTTCGGACTCGGAAACAAGACGCGAATACGAGAGTCTTCTCGATATTGCGATCGATGACATTGCATACGTAGACATATTGTTACAGCCAGCCAACGCACAGACGGCCACGCTAATGGCGCGGCTCCGTCGCCGCTCTGAGCCCCGACGTATCCGCGCATTTCCGTCCGCTCACTTGCGAGCGTATAGACACGGTTAATTCCAGACGCTCACGATGTCTTAATAATCGAAAAGTGGATCGCAGCCGACCGCGTTAAACTTGATTATGGGTACGTCGCAATTGGCATATCGCGATCGAACGGGGCGCGCTGTCTCGCGAACCCCGTTTTCGCGATATGCGGCACGAAAGAGCGTAGATTATTTTATCTCGGCGGAAACGCTCGCTTAGAAACGCCTCCGTGCTTCACACCGAAGCGTCGTCGGCAGAAATGTGATATATAATTCATTCAGCGACGCGAGCAAAAAACATCACGGAGACGTTTCACCGTTGTGCGAGTCCGTCCTCGTACTTTCGAAATGGAAAAAGAAAATCACAGCTAGTCAAGAATCAACGCGCGTTGTGGATGCGATTTTCAGTCTGTAAGATCCTACAGGAGGAGCCACAAAGGGTTGGGGGTAACAACGATCAGGCGAAGAAAGGATTTATTTTCGATATGCTTAAATTTATATTTCTCGTAACTCTATATTTTCTTTTCTCTTTTTTATTGTTTAATGTGGTAATACTGATCTTTTTTTGTTATATCGAACTACTTTATTCTGGTAGGTAGAGAGGGGGGCTGCTCGCTGGGTGCTTAAAATGTAGTTACAGGGGTGCGGTACATACACATGCATACGCAGTGGCCGCCTAGACGTAGCTTTTTCAGTAGGTGCTCAAGTAATATAACGTAATATAACACGAGAAATATGAAAAATCATTTCGTTCGTTTCAGTTACGAGAGATATGCTCGAAGACGGCCGTTATTAATGAAATAGGTGTTTTGTTTATAAGCCGAAGAGAGAGAGAGAGAGAGAGAGAGAGAGAGAGAGAGAGAGAGAGAGAGAGAGAGAGAGAGAGAGAGAGAGAGATTCTTTCCCGACTTGCGTAATTTGTGAATAGAGAAGAAACAGGACGACGATAGAAGTCGCGAGAAGACAAACGAGTAAAAGTATTCACAGGGCGCACGGTTGAGGGAGGAAAATCGTTGACCCGACGTTCCAAAATGTGCGACAGTAACCGCGCAAATGACTGTTATGTTTGTATAGATGTGTATTTTTTTTATATGTGTGTGTGTATGTAGCGAGTGAGTTATGTGTGTGTGTGTGTGTGTATGTGTGTGTGTACTATTGTGTACGCGTTCGTGACATTTTCTTTTTTTTTTCACTTGTTCTCTTGACACCTTCTCTGACAGCCGGGAAAGCACTGTTTTACAATCTCGTCGCGTTGTTGTAGCTAAGTCGAGGAAATGATGCGAGACGGCGGCGGCGGCGGCGGCGGCGGCGGCGGCGGCACTCCTTTGGTCTACGGGCTCGAGGAGGACTGACGACAGCTGGGTCATTATCACTTCCTCCTGAAGCACGTCACCGCGTTGAAATAGCAGCGCCAATAAACCTGACTTTTGCCTTGGCCGCGTCGCTGCAGATCCATCTAAAAAGATCGAGAGATGCGGTGTGGTGATCGAGTGGTATTTAAGTCGATTCAAGTCGAATCGGCAACGCTTTGCGAACAAGGAGATTCTCTCTTTTCAAGGATCAACACGTCGGGACGAAGAAATGCGCTGCTGATCGCACGAGCGAGGATCCACTTTTCTCGGAGTAGTAGACGCGATTCTTTCTCGCGTCTGGAACGCTTGAAGCTTCGACAAAGTTGAGAACAATGTTTTGATTTTCGTTTGCTTGTACAAAAAAACAACAATATTGGTCGATGCTTGAAACAGCCGATCAACAATTATTAATTTGATTTACGAATGATAACCGATGAAAAGTGATCGGTGTCAGTTGATAGCTAAATAAGTTAATCGAAGCACTAACATTATGATTGACGTAAGTGCTCTATGCTGAAAGAAGAAACGCATAGGATAGTTTCCTCAAGCGCTCCTTAGGTTTAAAACGGCTCCAGACACAAGGATCTGCACCTGCCGAGTAAAATTATTCAAAAATTGATACCGAATTCACTACCGCTTGATCTTTCTCCATCACGGGAACAGTCTCCAGGTCGGCGGCGAAGGGCGGCCCACCAACAGTGCCTTTTCCCTGATTATCGACGACCTTCTGTAGGGCTACCATCAGTTGGTCGAACAATAGAGCCGCTCTCTTCGGCATCACTACCTGCGGGATCAAAGCCCAGATCGGCCGATCAGTAAGTGGGATAACCTCGGCTTATATCAAGTCTGTTCGTTTTCGAAGAACTTCTGAGCCAATGCAATAAGTTATAATGAGAAGTTCAACTATAGGTTGCGCTTTTTGCTGTTGGAGTCAAACAGGTATATCTCGAGTTGAAGAGAAAAAGAATGAAGTTTCAGTGCAGCGTTAGTTCAGCCAGAAGGAGAGAACAGACTTTTATTTATCGCAGTAGTGCGCACTAATTTAGAAATTCTTCGAAAACGACAGACTCTCATTGACACGCCAGTAAATTATGACGATACACCTGAGAAATGTAAATGTGATATGTTACCTCACCGACTCCTCTCGAATTTGACCTTCACGTTTAACTACGTTTTCCGCGTACGTGCGCTGACCTGTAATTACCGAGAAGCACATCGGCGAAGTGTCTCGCGGAGCGCGACGAAGGAAACGCGAGAACGACGGGGTAATTAATAGATAACGGTCTCTCGGGTTTCTCGCCTTGCCCCTCCGCCTATGCTAACCGCGACGCTGCCATGCATTCGCCTAATCACTCATCGACAAATATGTGCAAACAAGTCTAATTAAGATGCAAAGGGACCGTTCTTTCAACGGCGATTCTTTGTGTGGACCGTCTCTCTCTCTCTCTCTCTCTCTCTCTCTCTCTCTCTCTCTCTCTCTCTCTCTCTCTCTCTCTCTCTCTCTCTCTCTCTCTCTCTCTCTCTCTCCCTCTCCCCCCTCTCTCTCCCCCCCTCTCCCTCTCCCTCTCTCTCTCTCTCTCCTTCCCCCCCTCTCTCTCATTCTCCCTTCTTTTCTCGCTGATTTTTCTTTCTCTCCCCTCCTTTCCTCCCGGCCGCTACTCCCACGCGTTTTCCTTCGCTTCATTCTCATTCGGGATGCATCTGTTTTTCTCACTTACCTCTAATCGCGACTGATCCGATCTTAAATAACGCGTCTTTTTCATCATCATCTCCGTCGGATAATCAATGAACACTCGCGTCGCGGAGGGTTAATTGGAAGATATTGGAGTTTTAGCGGGCTGATCACGGGCGAGGGTGGGCGACATGCTCGAAAACCGTAGCGTGAGAAATATGAAATTCGAAGCATATCGGAGGAGCGGCAGTTCCTCTGAAATGTGACGGCGGGACGAAAGATGAGTCGATGATAAAAATAATGAGCGCTCAAGAGAGAGTGGGAAGGAGGGAGGGAGAGAGATCCAGGCGAGATCGAAGATACGTTTCTGTACTCTTCGTCTTTCTATCTCTCGCTTTTTTCTTTCTTTTTTCCGCCGGAATGCAAGAGGCGAGAGAATCGAACGGATCGACTACGAATTTTAGTATTCATCCGCGTGATGAAATAAAATCAGCCGTCATGCAAGCTGAGATCACCGTCACGAATGAAACGCGCTTGCAAGTTTGAGTGCTGTGATAATATGCGATGTAAGTATTGGCCCTTTGTTACACCCACAAGTGGCGTCAGAACTATTCATGCGGGTGGGCCAGCGTTTATGTATGGGTAGGCCATATTTATTATATATTATATATCATTTTATCATCCATTTTAATGTTTCTAACCGTTGCGTTTTGTCTCTGGGAGAAATTAACTATGAAGGTAGAATTTAAGATTAATTGCAGAATTTTAATCATAAAAATAACTTCATATGAGAAAGCTGAAAATTTTTAGGATAGAATAGGACAGCATAATTATGCTAAAATTTTCTCAAAATTTAGGATGGGCCAAAGGATGAGCCAGCGTATTTTTAGGTGGGCCAGGGCCCACCCAGGTCCATCCTTGGCGCCGCCTATGGTTACACCCTTATCTGATAGATGCGAATGTAATAAGGATACTTGTAACGCTTGTGTCTTTTTTTTCTGAATTATATCTGACGGCTTGTGCCGTTCTTGAATTTTTTGTTTTACATATTCAAAGTTGATTAATTCGTTAATAATTCGTGTTAAGGAATCGATAGACGAAAGGAAGGAACGCGTGCCTGGCGAATGCTCGGGCACCCTTCGCACGACAGTGAAATCCTCTCGATAATAGTCACCCATTTGACGGGGCAGGAGAACGATCGTAGGGAAGTGAAGGAACGGAGGATATGGTTTGTGCAACATTCCACTCTGAGTAAATGCGTGGGGAGAAGGATAAAACGAAATTTCGACACGCAAAAATTGCAAAGCCAAACCGACTGGTGGCGATCCCGAGCACCCAATTAACTGGTAATCCCTTAAAGCGAATTTTGTTACCGTCGCGATAAGCAGAGCCACGAGATTTGCTGGCTTTCGCGAAACGGGCGGAGAGAATTGCGCCAAGTGGCGGGCACACTCGACAAGGTCTATCGCGAGCTCTAGATTCGCGGGATTAAAAAAGCAAGACGAATTAATGGCATTTTTCTCATCGAGGCAGGCGCGCTCGCTCGAGACGATCGACGCGAGTCGACAGCGGCGTTTTGCGATAAAAATAGAAGAGATTGGAATCGAATCTATAATATCCAGTCAATTGGTCTAAAATGTCTAATTAGAATTTCCAATCAAAATCTCTAATTGGAGACTTTCCTGAGACCGGCGACGTGCGTCGAGATGTTTATCGTTCGCGCGGTCTTTGCAAAGGACACTTTTGCGACGCAACAGGAGGCAGTGCGGCAGTGCAACTCCGCGAACTCGGGGAAGTACGATACGTATTTTTCAAAAATGAACCTTTCCTCTTTGTAATTTTGTCGTCGCACGGCGCAAACAACGAGATTGCCGGTTAAGAATCTTTGTCCCTCTCGTCGTATCGGAGCTCGCCGGGGTAAACAATCACGTCGAACAATACATTTCATACATTGCATCGCGCACTCGTCGTTTGCTCTTCCCCCCTTATTTCCCAAAGCGCCGCTAATGAACACCGGCACATTTTCTTCCGTCATCACACGCTGCGTATACATCTCGTGCCTCTGCGTCGATGTTTCAACCCTTTCACTATTAGTGGGAAGTATACTTCTCACCTTTTCTTGATTCAATTTTATGTTGTAAATCACATAATTTTGAAGAACTAATCGGGGATTTGAGTTTTCCAGATAACTGAATAGTGTTCAACATACTCCAATAGGTTTTTATACACAATTATTCATTTGTGACTATTTATAACAAATTAAAGTTGAAGAAAATGCTTTCTCAGGGAAAAATCGATTCCTTGGAGAATATTGAATGTAGAGGTCTGAAATTTTCACCAAATATTTTTCTGATGTTGTACAAAAACATATATTTTTTTCAGTATTCTTTTGCAGGTTAGATTTTTTTTATAAGCAAATATTTCTTCAAAAACGGCCGAAATTTGATTTTTTTGCATTTTTCAGCTCTATTTTCCTAATTCTATCATTCTGTATCTCCATCTTATCCATACTATCAATATTATTTTACTCAGAAATGAATGTTTAATCTCTAGCAAGCATAAATAGGCAGTATTGAACATTTTCCCACATAAAGCTTTTCCAGCTCGATCGAGTTCCATCGTCTAGAATCATATATGTTCTTATTACGACTTGGTCATTATTTAATAATAATTGGAATTTTCATTAATTTTGTACATCATGATCGCCATATTGAGTCCGCCATTTTGAACTTTGCAAATCTGACTTTAGATTCGTAATCAGCGACCCAAAAAACATAGGACTACCAAATATTTTAATAATTTTCTCAAGGGAAGTTAACTCAGCAGTGAAAGGGTTAAACTAATGAAAATTAGAACCGCGACGAGAAGTTTCGAAGCGACGCAGTGATGGTTTGGCTCTGTTTTAATAGTTCATAATACACTACACCCTTCTGGTCTCACCATACACAGAGCATTACTTTCTTGCCGTGAATATTCCGCTTTGGTATCGATGTGGATGGTTTTCCTGGGTCGCTAGTGGATTTCCTTCGTTTGGGATTATCGAAATATATCCACTTTTCTTCTCCAGTCACAATACAATGCAAAAAACCTTTTCTCTTTTGCCTGACAAGCAAGATTTCAGACATGGCTTTTCGCCTCTCGATGTCTCTTTCTTTCAGTTCGTATGGCACCCATCTTCCTTCTTTGTAAATCTTTCCCATGGCTGCCAAACGCACAGAAATTGTTGATCGATCAACATTCAATAATTGCGCGAGCTCATGTTGCGATTGACACGGATCTTCATCGATTAGCGCCTGCAATTCCTCGTCCTCGAACTTCTTCGGCTGACCTGGACGAGGTTTGTCATCGACACTGAAATCATCACTTTTGAAACGTCGAAACCATTCTCTGCATGATTTATCGGTGGGAGCACTTTCATCATAAGCTTCTACACAGAGAGAACGATTTAGTTGAATTTAACAAATGCTTATTTGGAATAGTCCAAATAAATTTTTTGATTGATCGGACGAAGTTTTGTTTGACGCAACAAAAATATTTTGTTACAGCTTAGTTCCAACGAAATGTTTTTGTTGTGTCAAACAAAATTTTGTTCAATCAATCAAAAAATTTATTTCGACTATTCCAAATAAGCATTTGTTAGATTCAACTAAATCGTTCTCTCTGTGTACGAGCATTCGATGAGCTTCAGCGGCTGTTTTTTCAAATGAAAACAGAAAATGAGAACTGATGAATCCCGGAAATGATGCTTTTTTGGCTCGAATTTCGACATTTTCGAATCAGATAAACACGATGTTATTGTTACAAACCCAAACGTTTATCAACTGAATATTATTGCAATAATACTATAGCTGAATACTATTGCTAGATATCAAAACTAAAAAATAAAACTTTTTGCAGACATTAGAGGTTAGAAAATTACATAGTACAGCAATTGACCGCCAGATGGACCGAATTAATTCACACACCTAATACTTTCTCCTCCTGTCTAATCTCTGCAGCTTAGCCCGAGTCGGAGGAGAAGGAATTGCATTAATGGAGGTGAATTAATCAAATTAATGGGTGATAATCAGCTTCAGCAAAGTGCTTCGAATAAGAAGAAGATAGAGGAACAA